ATCACAACAACTAAGGACTTGTATAGAAAATATTTTTAAATGATTAAAAGCGTTTTGAAAAAATTATTTTTGGGTTCTAAATGCATTTAAAATGTTTTTCTATGATTAACTTGTATTTTTATTACGTATTGGTTTCAAAAACATTTTTTTCAAAAACGCTTTCAATCATTTAAAAACATTTTCCAAATAAGCTATAAATATAAATTGCGAAAAAAAATAATAAAAGAATGAGTTAAATCACGACAATTAAAACTACACAACCAAAATGGAACTTTGCCCAAACTACAAGAACCATACTCTGGCTTAATCAATATGTCACTGTCAAATAATCATTACGAGAAATGTAGTATACTATCTTATGAGCAAGCTAAATACTAAACCCTAATTTAGTTTGCTTCATTATTTTAAAGAAAGCAAGTATGTTTGAACTTTGAACCAATTTAATTGTCAGGAAGTTGTACAAAAGAGAGGGAGAATCTGGATTTGCATGGAGATTTGGGGACATACAAGTACAATTGTCAATATATGTTTGCATTCAGTGGGATAAGTTGATTCACTTTCCGTTAAATTTTACTGGATCAACTGCGCATGCATATATGCATATATTATGTAGGTTCTATTGGGAAATGATTTTCATTACATCAAAGGATAAGTTACAAGAGTATTTATATGGAAACTGAGGCGGTGGAGGTTCAGATCCGTCAACAATACCGGTAAGTTTGTAGCGACGAAAGATCGGCTCGAAGAGAGATCGCCACACAAGATAGTTATGGCGCTTGAGCTTAGTCTGAATCATGCTGCCGATATTGTGTATCGTAATCGAGTTGATCGAGGCCTGAATTGAAGAATTAGGGTTTGTGGGCAGCGGAACAGAAGGATGAGGATTTGGAGAAGAAGAAGGAGGATCAGCAAGCACAGGAGGAGAAGGATGGTGCGCGATCACTGGGGAAGAAGAAGTCGAAGAATTGGCCGCCATAGATTGTTGATTGCAGAGAGAAAATGACAGGAATGAGACCTGTTTGGTGACTAAGAAAATGAGAGGAAGCGTACAAAGGATCTTAGTCGGTAGACTTTAGGCGAGTGATACCATATTGGGAAATGATTTTCATTACATCAAAGGATAAGTTACAAGAGTATTTATATGGAAGCTAAATACAACAGACTAACAGAGTAAAGGAAAGTTACAAGTGTGGTAATTTTCCTAACTAACTTTTAACTGTTTGTTATTACTATTATGTTGAGTTACTTGAGTAACTTTCTCTTCAGGTTCAACGTCATTGTTGCCGGCTACTGACAAAACCACCATCTTAAACGGAATGGAGAGATAATGTATGGATCTATCAAATTCTACCACGATCAGATTAATTTAATTTAAGCATTTGCAAATTAAACTACAATTAGCTTGGCTTGCAATGTGCACGAGGTTGATTTTGAAATGTTTAAAAAAAGTATAATTTGACTGTGAATTAAAGCCATAGCTTCATGCGCGCTTAAAGTCCAAAAATGGACACCCACCAACTAAAATACCCTCTCTCTCTCTCACAAACCATGGGTTTAGTACATTTTCACCGTTTTATGTTTGTCCTGTCAAACGCTAATCAAGATTTGGCCAACGTTAATTAACAAAAGAATTAAGGCTTACCTACTACAGAAATATTGGAGTTTACCTGCCCCAAAAGCAATCAATAGTTAAAACTAAAAATATAGCACTCTTCAACGAAGAATTAGACCTGCATGTATTATGTGCCGGCTAGGACTTTTTAACTTCATGAAAAAAGTTTGTGAGCAATGCAGTCACTGCATACGTTTTGCATGTAAAATGAAGCTCGCCTTCTAATTATTATTAATTATTCAAAGACCCTAAATCCGGCCGGAATAACAACAGTTCCCATGGTTCATTAATTGTATTTGGGGAGACTTTTATTTTTTATTTTTTTTATATACAACGATATATTTATATTAAGCAGGCGGGGAAATAAATTGGTTGCGAACTCGCCACTCACATAATTCAAGTATAAGACCTCTTATTTACAAGTAAAGATGAATACCACTAGACTATAGTACTAAACGAAAAGTAGAGTTGTTTGGTTAAAAAGAAAATCATTTGAGGATTGGTCGATGGAAGTATATTCTTTCCCGAACTATGTTACATTTCTTTTTTTCCTAAAAAAGAGAGCATTATATGCGAAGAAATATGTTATGGCCATGAAAGGACTTCACAAGGGATGGGTTATTTTTAAGGAACTTTAACGAAAAGCTCCCGGTATTGTTCACTTTAACAAAAAATCATATTTTTACACTAAAAAGTCAATCCTGGTACTATTCACCTTATCATTTTATTTTGTCTTTATCATTAAAACTCAGAGTTTCCAAGTTTTTTCATTAGTTTTCCTTTATTTTTATCCTTTCTTCATGTTGATGCGAGAGTTGGGCTTATTTACCTGAATAGATATGGAAAACCCTTAACAATTGAAGTAACACATTGGCACCTTGGGAATTGCTTCTGAAGGAGTTGAAAGTTCTGGTAAATGAAAAACTCTTTTGATTATATGTAGGCCAAAATAACTCCAAAAATCACTTTTAACTGGGTTGTTTTTTTTCAAGAAGCACTTGGACCTGTTTGGGTAAAGTTTTGCTAAAAGTGTTTATAAAATAGACATGCTAGAATGTGGAAATGTTACTTAAAAAGCATCTGATAGACGCTTTTCCAGAAAACGTTTCTAATAAGTCAGAAATATTTTTAGGTTTTGTTGTCAAACTTAGATAGAAGCGCTTTTATCTGCCAAAAGATGATTTTTATCCAAGCAATTACACATGTCAGCATATTCCTAGTAAACATGCTTATAAACATAGTACTTTTTATGAAAACAATCTCAAACGAGCTCTGTTGGACTATGTCGGAATTTTACAATTAAGGCCCAAGTGTCCAAGACACTTTTGCAGATCATCTGAACTATATGCTTAATAAAACTGGGCCTAAATGATACAGACTTCTTTTCTGACTTCTGTCTCTAGTTGGCAGATTGACACGAAACATCATTACCTGACTGAGCCCAAACACACACAACCGGAGTCCAAGCACTTATGGGAACCCAAATTTTGAGAGAATTTGAATTCTGAAATATGTCAGTTACTCTATCCTCCGCAGAAAATGATAGAACCCCATGCCTATGCCTTACACGTTTTACATTCATTCAACCTCCTCCCTCCCATACGATCCGAAACGCTCTCCCCCTCCCCCTCCGTTGCATACGAGGCCAACCAAATCAACTGAGAAATCTCAATGCCGTCTTTTCACTACTCCATCTGTGCCTTCAAAATTCAGGTAAAGTGATAAAGCTTACTTCCCATCTTAAAGAGAACAGAATTGTTCTTAGCTTGATGTCAACTATTCTGGTAAAGCCTGAGCGTTGAATACATGCATGTTCTTTTGTTCCTTCATTTGGATAATTTTTATACAAGTTGCTTCTAGAATTTATACGAAATGACTGAAGCATGTGCCCTTTTATCAACTTGGCGAAGTGATTCTTCTCGTTGTGGTCAAAGCGAAGTGATTCTTCTCGTTGTTGTTAAAAAGTGATCCTTCAAACTCGGGTGAAGGAGGCATGCACACTGCTCTAGCCAAGTTAACCAATTCATCTAACCGCATTTTGTTTACAGTGTAGAGTTTATTATTGTTCTACTTGGACAATTGTATATCGGAGTTCTCTTGCAACGTTTATGTTATTTTAATTGGATGAAATACTGCACCCTTTTCTACTTTTGTACGAACTAAAGTGAATCAACAGGGGATGACCCCAAAAGCAAAACAATGAGAATCCACTGCAAAGTGATTGATACGATGTATTGAATTTATTTTTCGAACTCGCAACATTCACAAATTCTTGGCTTCCATTTTAGTTGCAGGAGAGGTTCCGGTGTAAAGTGGAGCTTCTGCATTAGCTTGGTTTGCAAGCTGTCCAAAACCAAGCACAGAAAACACAGGTTGACATGTATGTATTTTTTTTCTATATCGAACCATATTGTAATCTAATCAAAATTATAACGCAAGGAGATTCGCACTTCGCTATTAGGAGACCTCAATTGGTCTATTTTTTCCCCTTATTGTGATAACTTAATTGCATTACAAAGGAGACTAAATTGAACGAATCAAATTTTTAAAGGCCCGAATCACTTGATCATTGGGCTTTGAAGAGAGAGATCTGGAGAGGAACTCTTTCCTAAATTGAAATCGAAATTGATTTATTTATCTGACTTTGCCCAGCCTATATGTAGTAGATACCGTAGCCTCCAAGTTTAATTGAATTTGGGGGTAAAAAAACATGAATTCTATTGGGAAAGGTGAAGTGTGTTAAATAATCATAACAAAGGGGACATCTTCTCTTAATTATTATAGTTATTTACTGAAATCATGACATCTCTTCCCTTTTTTTGTTTTTTGAACAAACGATAATATTTATACTAAGAGGAAGGAGTGACCTTAACCTCACAATGAACTAGCAATAATATGATTCAAATTCGTTTTTAGTGAGAATCGAACTTAAGACCTCTTGCTTATAATAAGTGAAGAGGAATACCACTAGATCGTAATAATAAGTGGCAGTTCTTCCGATTTTATTGAGACTTAATTTTCATTGGATGGGTTGGTTGGTTAGTTCTCATCATATATAGATAGATAGCCTTCATCAATACCTTAACCTTTCTCTTTGTCAGTTTGTAGCCCCTGCAGGAAGTAGGGTATGATTCATCATCAACTACCACATTTTCATATAGAAAATGAAACCCCCCCTCAAATTTATGATTGAGCTGCTTTACCCTGTCAGGGAAAATAACTTCACTTCAACCCTCAAACCAATCACATGGCAGTGCATGATAGATTTAAGATATTGTCGCGGAGGCATCACAAGTGTAGGTTAGTTTCTCTGCTACTGGGGGGATGGGGAGGGAGAGTGAAGTTTTGAGGGACAAATTTAAATCATTGGATTTAAGAGAGAGAGATGTAGATCTGAAAGTTTGGACACTAAATTCCTCTGGTAACAAATATACAGATAGCCAACTTTATAGGGTATAAGAAAAACCAGAACCACAGAATTCGAGAGAGAACATATTGATAATAAATCCCTATCGTAATAAGCCCCATTTATTTCTGATGACCTAAATGGCAGATTGAAAGGGGTTGAAAATATTTTCTAAGTACAGAAAAGAATGTAGAAGATATAGCAAACCCATCGGAGACGACAATATCAAAACACATCCACACACACAAACAATACATTGTATATGACATTGTATATGGCGGCTTACTCGAACGATTCCCAGTTAAACTTAGGGTACGGAGATTGATTGGCGGCCTTGGATGTTGAAGAGGTTGGGATCAATGCCGGGGCAGAATCGAATGTCTCCCACTGTGTGGTCACAACTACCGGCCCTGATGCCGAATGCCTTGATGGTTGTTCTTGCTGTTGCACTTGCTGATTATGTGTAGGTGGATAGTCAACCGAATTCCTCGGTTGATGCTCTTGAATTGGTGCCAGTCTATGTCCATTCCCATTGGAATGACCATCTGAATGCCTCTGCTGAACCTGCTTTGGAATCTGACTTCCATTGCTGCTAGGCGAGGAGTTCTTAGCTTTCAATACATCTAGAGTTTCGACATACTTCTGCACGCGTTTCACCTTCAAAACAAATTATGATCACATCTTAAAGTTGTACATGAAGATGTCAAGCAAAATTCAGGACCACAGTAATCAAATGTACCTGCATCTTCCTCTGCAGTTTCACATCTCCGTCGCCCATGATTCCATCTAATTTAAGCAACTGGTTCATCAACTGCTCAATTAAAACAAGCACATCTTGCTCTGCAACTTTTTTACCTTTCGTGATTATTGACTCAAGAGCCGACACCTACAATTCGGAAAACCAAATTTCAATTTCCAAAACACAAATTTTATATATATCATGAACAAATCTTTGCATACACTTCTTTGACAATACCTGGCCGGCAAGCCTGTCTACTTCCAAGCTGATTTCAGAAATCGATTTCGAAGCCTTCTCCATCTTTGCATTGCGTCGCATCTCAAGATATCGCTTTTCTTGGCTAATAGGGTCCTCAACTAACACCATTTTCGACCGGTCCTTCACCCCGGACATGTCAAGAAACGCCTTCGAGTCCCTCTCCTTGTCTTTGAATATCAATTTCTGATCTTCATGGTGCAAACCTGTCGGTCCAACCAACATTTTCTTCAAATCCCCTGCACAACAAAAGTTACACAATTTTACACACCACAAGTTATTAACAAGCATTAAAACATAAATTTCTCAATTCCAATTCAAAAATGTAAAGTTACAAAATTGAGAATAAAATTTACCAAAAGAAGACTGAGCACTGATGCTCATTTCATGGTAAATGGACCCATATTTGACCCGAACTCTAATTGTCGGTGGAGGCGCCGAGTTCCGATCAGAGTCCGGATTTCGCTTCTGAACCAGCATTCCTCCCGGTCTGAGCTCCCACTCTCCCTGCCCCGACTCAGCTCCTCCGCCGCCCGAACTTCCATTCAACTCGGCCAGTGACACCCCTGTAGTCTTCGTCTTCATCCTCATCATTTTTACTCTCTAGTTTTCCACGAGAGATCTCTCAGATTTTTTATCTGCTTCAAAAATTAGAAACAACCCAATTGAGAGAAAGGCTTGTAGAAGAAAACCCTGGTTTCAGAATTCTCACGCTCTGACCCCAGCAGCATCACACCAACCGCTGAAAAGCCGCAGCTTTAATGGTGTCTTGAGAAAGAAATAAACGAACAACTCATTCACCTCTAAAGTTCAAGCCTTGTGCTTGAAGAAAAGCATGGAAAGATTCACCGAACCGGGTCCGACCCAGGAAACACAACACCCACAAGGACTCAGATCTTCAGCCAAAAATGCAGCCTAAGTCAAACAGAGCAGAGAATTTTCCCGAGAAAACAAAACCAACCCAGTAAGCTGAAACCCGAGATTATCCCAAAGTGGCTGCCGAAAAAATCAATGCAAAATCAGAATCTGATAGTTTTGTTTCTCTTCTGGTTCTTGAGAACTCGAGGAGGAAGAGGGAGAGGAAGAAAAATAAAAAAATAAAAAGAGTATAAGAAACAAGTGGCCAGCCAGCTAGCTAACTGAGCTGTTGGAACCACATTTTTATATATGAATGAATGATTAAATTATAGCTATAATTATGCGAAAATAATTATATACTTAATTATTTTATGAAAATCATTGTAAGAAAATAAAATACAGAAAAAGAAAATGAAAAAAGCCCCCAAGGTTCGCTTTAAAAAACGCGGAAAAGAAAATTTTTGGGATCATACAGCGAACTGGGTAGGAAGAAATTTTTAGTTATAACAAGAATATAACTGGTACATCACGTATTTTAATATAAGTTGTAGAAAATTTTATTTTTTAAGTTATTAACTTTTTAACATATATATCCCACTATTTATATAGTAACACGTGATGTACATATCTCGTGTACCGATCATATTGAAAAATCTCTGGGGTCTTGTACTTGCAGGCTTAAAAAAATTAGCCGTACTTTGTTTGCTCTTTTGACACGTGCCTGATTCAGGGTACTTTATCATTTGTCTTGCTAATTAGGGAGGGTTTTTAAGTCCAACACGTGGGAGATTAACGTGGAGGATCGATTCTAAACTTTGGGGTTAAACCGTGGGTGGGCGGTAAGTCGTCACAAACGTGTCTCAGCTTTTACTATCTATATTTTTGGCTGTGCAATAGTAAAAATATGCTTTCCAAGATTCGTTGTTTTAGCTATTATTTTATAACAAACGATATTATCTACATTAAGGAGAATTAATAGTCTTAATCTTATAATCGGCTAAACAATAATGTGGTTCAAACTCGTCTTTGGCGAAAATCGAATCTAAGATCTCTCACCTACAAGTGAAGATGAATACCACTTGACCGTAAAACTAAATGGCTGCTTTAGCTATTATTTACTTTATTTCATATTATCAAGTAAATTTGGGTTAAATAAGCGTTTTTCATAGCTTTATTTTTTAGAGCCATTAAATTCATATCATAGCAGCGTTGCGTGACCAATTCGTGAATTTTTCCACCGTCAGACTGGTCATGGAGTACTCGAAAGCTTTGCTCCAAAGGATCACTGAAGTTTCTGTTATCAAGTACATTTTGGGTTAATTTTGATTTCATGACTTTATTTTCGAGAACATTAACTTCAAATCACAGCAGCGTTGCAGGACCAATTTGTGAATCTTTCCACCAGACTAGTTGTGGAGGACTCCAAAGCTTTGCTTTGAAGGATCACTGAGATATTTGTTTCTAAGGAAAACTAATGAAAATGGTTTGAAAATTTTGAGTTTTAACGATAATGACAAAATAAAGGGTAAAGTGAATAGTACCAAGATTGATTTTTTAGTGTAAAAATATGGTTTTTCGTCAAAGTAAACAGTACCGCGAACTTTTCGTTAAAACTCTCTTGTTTCTAACACTTGCCCCCAGCTAATGAAGCAGCCTATTTGTACTTGGCCTAAGCTTCCTCTTACTATTGTTAATTTGTTAATGATTTGTTGCTGGAGGAGATGTTGTGACCTCTTTTGGAGGTCCTTCCAATCGTTGTACTCGTTTATTATCTGGTTTCAATGATTATTATCGCTTTTTCGCGCTTGCTTGTTTTTTTATTGATTATATAAAACCATATATACATTTTTATTAATACTATATGCATGACTAATCACATAAAGGGACAACACATATACAACTCTTATGGATAACAAAGTTGAAGATGCCAAAACAAAGAAAAGGTTCTTTGCAATCCCATCATAGTTTTGGGCATTTCTTTTTACCACTTTTTATTTTGTGGCCAATAAAACACCTAATTGCACATAACTTTATAAGAAAATAGACAAAGAATAATCCCCATAAAATAATAAACGAGACCAAGTCAAACTCTTTTTCTAAAATTGTCTTCTAGAAATTGGATATTAAATTTTTTTTATAATTTAAAAGTAACAAACAAAAAATTAGTAAAACCTAGCAAAACAAATATGAACATGAACTGTTTACGTCACAGGATAAACTATTACCACCGACAGTCCCATACGTGCAGCCAACACGAGGGAGCTTCCAAACACGTGGCGAACTGCAAGCCATACAAAGAGTCGCCGCCAAGTATGAACCGTGCGATTTGTTAAAGTTGGAAGTCCATGCGTTGCGTAGCTCGATGGGGACTGTGCAACCTATGAACAAACGACATATTAAACTGGCCTCCCTCTAATAATTCTGATAAGTAATGTTAAGTAGATTAATATTTTAAATTATATTTGTAAATTATATGATTTATCAATAATATTAATTAAACACGTTAATAATAATAATTAAATACATTAATTAACATTTAGGTAATAATTTAATAATTAATAACAATGTTAGATGATTATAAAATATGTTTTAAATAGATAGAGAAATGCAATAAGGATTTTTTTTAAAGTGAAACTTTCCTTATACTCTATGCCACCTCATATATTTTGCACAATATTTCATAATGTTAGCACGAAAATTAACTTAAATTATGAGATGACAGACTCTATGGAGAGTCTCATTCTAAAAGAGTCTCTCAGCACTTCCCATAAATAGTTTCTTTAGCATTACCTAATTATGATGCTCTTAAACTTTTTCTCATTAACTAATATGTCTGCCCCTAATTTTAAATAATTAATAATTAGTTTTTTTGTCAAAAATAATTAATAATTAGTTAGGTTATTTGCAATTTCCTTTTATATATATATATATTTTTATTTTTTTAAATTTTGGAAGTAGCTTCCAATAGGGAGTAATTTTATTTTTTAGTTAATTATCAACAATTCTATTTTAATCCATAGGTCTTGTCTTTGAATGGGGACAGGATACCGACCATTCGATGTGTATAGAATTTGGGTCATCGGGGACTGCCTTTGCATTGCATCGCAGTGGTTTTACATAATTCTGTGGGACTGATGTCAAATTGCGAGGCACGTGACATCCAGACAGCCACACACTTCTTGTTTTTGTTGTTGTTCTCGTTGCTTGTGTTTGTTTTAAAACAAGGATGAATTATATTTTTAACGTGCATGGCTTCGTTGGAAAAAATGTTTTGTGTCCACTGATTTGAGAAAGTATACATAAGAAGAATATAATTGCGTGAGATTTGAAAAAAAAAAGGTTTGTTTAATTAGTTATACAAGAAACATGTTTACACTCAACTCGTGTTTATAACAATTGTTTTATTATTGATGCAATATATCTTCAAATATAAACACTTAAATTATTAATACCAAGTAACCACACTGGTCACATTGGAGCATTTCTTTATTGAAATCAATTGAAGTTTCATTTGTTGCTATTGCTATAAAAGAAAATTGTATATAACATGTAATACTGTTTTATATTGATTTATTTTAACAAACAATATCTTTAGTGGGTTAAACTTTTAAATGTTAAGGAAGAGAGGATCAGTGAGGATTTAACGTCACCGAAATACATACATATTATTATTATTTTTCGCCAATACGATAAAGCGTTATCTAATAATTTTATGTTGTTTAAGAATAAAAGTAAGGTGAGAATTTGTTTTCAAGGTGTTCTTTACTTTTTTTTTCCTTTTGTGCCCGATGGTGATTTTCGAATTGAGGGGAATATTTTAATTAAGATTACGATTTTTTTTCTTCATTTTTATGTTTGAGTTTGAATGACTCTTTAGCTATTAATTATACTATCTTATGGTGTTTAAATAAAATATTTAATTTTAGAAAGAAAAAAAAATCTGAATGAACATAATCATTTATATCTGGAGTTGTTAATACTTTGCTACCTCATAAATTTATGAAGTAGATTATTTTGAGATAAAGAGGGTTATATTGACAATTAGCTTTTTGGTCAGAAGGGTTATATTAACAATTGACCAAATAGACAATTAGTAAGGAACAAAAACATACCCCAAATTGTGATAAAGTAAAAAAAAAAGTTAAAAAGTATAGACCACGCAGTTACATGCGTAACCAGCAGCCAATTCCACACAAGAGCATGACGTACTAGACACAGTCATATGTAGTAGGGCTGATATTTGGTCTGCTAGCTACAAGCTAACCCTAGAATAATTCGTTATAGAGAAATAATAAGGAAACTTACTCAAAGTGAGATTATTTTTATAAATTTTCTATTAGGAAAACTAATGAAAAAAGTTTGAAAATTATGAATTTTAACGATAATGACAAAATAAAGATAAAATGAATAGTACCAATATTAATTTTTTAGTGTAAAAATATAAATTTTCGTTAAAGTGAATAGTACCGTGAACTTTTCATTAAAGTTCTATTTTCTATCACTTATAGTTTAATGTTAATTTTGTGCGAACTATTTGTTACCTCATATTTTAAGCACAATATTCATAAAGAATCCCCTTAACATTTCTCTTCGATAAATGGGGAGGACTTATTTGGTGAGGAAATAGTTGGTCAGCATGTAAAAGACACATGAACCGACGATAAATTACTTGTTACCTAGATTTATTATTTATACAATTAATTACTTTAATATTCTACTTAGTTACGAAGTCAAATCTACAACTAATGAGTTATAGCTTTGGATCTCGATGACTTTTTGCAACATATAAAGTAGCTATATATATTTCGACCCTTATAAACTGGGAGGCTTAGATGACATGGCAAAGTAATCATTGACTGTTCATACTTGTACTTACCGGAGTTAGCAGAATCATGGGGAAGCTTTTAGGTCCCGCATGAAACCCTAGGTTGGTGGTGTTCCAAATTAGATGGAGGCACGTGGAAAGCGCATGTCTAAAGTCTAAACTCTCATCATTTTTGCTAATTGGAATGATTTGGGTTTTCTTAAACCTACTACCAGAAAAGGGTCCATTTTTATAATACAAAACATGGTTTTTGTATAAATTAAGAGCATCTGAACCCTAATTGTGTTAAATATAAAGATATACGATTTTAGGAAATAAAGGGATGGTGGAAGGTATCTTTATTGGTTGGTTAGGGTTTAAATTGAAAACGAAAATCCAACAACTGAGAAATAAAAAATTGGATGCCAAGTTTGTTTCTATATTGACTGCTCGAAACGGAATCGTTTCAAAATTTCAAT